TATATATGAATATATAAAAAATATATCAAAATGCGTGTGGGTACTCAAATGAAAGCTCTTGATGAGTGTAACATCAGGATGAGCTTATATCTTTACAAACATCAATATTTATAAAAGTACAGTGCAATTTAACAAAATTTATTATTTAATAAAGCAAAATTTTATTTATTTATACTTTACAAGTCATGTCAGTCAATTAGTGACTGCAAAGTTGCTAGTAATCATTAATTATCAAATATCACTAATTTTTATTTCTTATCAAATATTTCGTTTCTCGTGTCATAATTCCCACACGATCGACCGCTGGTTTTCCACTCAACGCATCTACCTGAGCAGCAATCGTCGTCCTCCTCACACTAATTATTCAAACGATAATAAATAAATAAATAAATAAATTAATTAATTAGCTTCAAATATTAAGAAAATTTATTCAAAATTATTAAATTTAATATTTTATTACTTGTGCGTGTGTTGTTTTGCAATCTGTAGATTCGAATTGGCGTACGGCTAATCCAATTGAAATTAAAAACATCACGACAATAAATGTAAATTTTAGCTTCATTATTTTTTCTCGTCGGTTGAATCTAAAAATATTTGTTAATTTAAACAATATTAAATATATATTTTAAAATAAATTTATTGAATTAGTAATTACCAATGTACAAAGTATATTTCTTCAGAGTGATGATAGTTGATTGATATAGCATCAATTTTGTGCTCAGTATTTATACGACTTTAATCACAAATTATACTCCCCTCTTTAATTATTTTGACAAAATGACGAAAAGAAAAAATTCAGGTAATATTTTATAATTTATTTTTAATATTTTATTATTTTATTATTATAAAAATAGTTATCTTCATAGTTTAATTTTATTTATTCACTTTTTTTTATATGAATTATTCACAAGCTATATGCCTGATTTTTTTATTAAAGTTTTTATTAAAAGAAAATTTTTTTTTTACTATTATAATTATTTTCAAACCATGTTTAAAATTAAAATATTTTCAAAAAAGTTTTTTGTCATCAAATTCAAGAATTTACTATTTTTTTTAATTTGTTTTTTTTTTTTTTTAAATAAAAACAAACTAATAATTAAGGTTGATAAAACTTAATTAAAAAAATTGTTCTATAAAAAGAGTTAATTGATTAGTGATTAGAGACTATTTCATCAATGAAGCAATAAGAAGTGTCATTAAATGTTTTTAACTAAAATGACTTTTTTAAAATAAGTTGGAATTTCCAGTTAATTAATTTGTAAAATCTAAACACTTAAAATTACAAACTCAACTATTGAAAGTTCATATAAAATTAGTTAATTTTTTAATAAATATAAATCATTAAAATAATTAGTAATTTTTTATCATATTTAATTTTACAATTGCTTAGGATATATTGAAAAAATATATTTAATTTTTCAATCCTGTACCAATTTCAATCACATTAGGTTCAGTAAATTTTTTGTCCATAAGTTCATGAAATTTAACTGAGTGCAACTTAGACTGGTTGATAGAATTCAAACTTTCCTCCAACGAAGTTTGTAACAATAACGTCGAACCTTGACTATCGGATTTTCCTTTTAGATCAGGTACAATAATGCTTTCAACAAAATTTTTAAACTAAAAAAAAAAGTGAAACAAGTAAATAAAAAATTCCTTGAGAATAAGTCTTAAATAATATCTTCTACCTTTTCATATTGATCTTGAGTTCGTATCGCTAGAGCTATTCTAGAAATGGGAATTAAGTACTCATCATCTTCAATTTCATCATACCTAGAAACGAACTTGATTTAGTATATCTTCCAAACAATAATTTAAAATTATTAATGACACTGAAGTTAACAGATAATAGAAATTTTTTTAGAATTTTATAGCAGTAAAATTATTATGAAAATAATTAAATAAAAAAATTGAACATCAAAAAACATTTTAAGTGGAAAGTTTTTACAAACATTTTTTAATTGTAATTAATTTGTTATAATATCTTAAAAAATTAACAGCTGCCAGTTAACTTCAGTATCTTAATTATTAAACATTAAAAATTAATACTAATAATATATACAATTTTTTTAAATCCTTAAAATGATCTATAAAGTAATCCAAAACAAAGTTAACATCATCAAGTTTTTTTCCCAGTAAAATATCAAATACTTTATCAATATCTTCTGCATCCGCTGTTGAATTAGCACTTGTTAATGAAGAAAAGTATTCTTCTTTCAATTGAAAATCTTTAGTGCATTCTATTAAAATCCTTAATTTAGATAATTTATCAAAATCCTCGTAATCAGAAGCCATATATTGTCCTCTGAGTGATTCATTTGCTGTTCTAAGACCATTGCATGCAATCCATTCCCAATCACTAGAAGGTATTCTGTAGAAAAAAGTCAAAAATTACATCTGAATAAACATACTCAATTATCAATAGTCCACTGATGGAAGAATTTAGTATGGAGTACAGAACTGACTTAGTAACAAAATTTTTAGTCATTTATGTTTTGACTCGCGATTGGTTTACCGCAAGTATATAAAATGTTACGTATAAAATTAAAGCTTATATTTTATACCAAATAAATGAGTTACTCAAATAAATTATGAATAAAAGTTTAGTTCACAATTAATAAATGCAAGACTAATAATAGATGTTGCATTGAGTAAAAAACCACGAGGTTGAGTTTATCTTTAATTTATTTAAAGTAAAGAAATGCGACTGTGCGCTACAAAGTATGTAAGTATAACTAACTTGAAGAAAATACAAAAATTGTTACAAGGAGAGTAAGAACTAGGCGTTACAAGTACAAGCAGAAAAAATTAGGAGTAGGAATATTTGGTAACGAATAGTTAACGAGGAAATAATTTGGAGGCGGGATAGTTGCAAACTATGCAGTTTTGAAAAATAAGCAGGAAAGGGAATAGGGATGCTAAGATTTTTACCTGGATGGGCGATACGTTTACAGAAAATATTTCTAAACTTAGTTAGCAATTAAAAGATTAAAAATACAAAATTTACCAAGAGTAAAAACCCAGAGTAATATAACCCAGGTATCAAGTTTATGACCATAAGCAGATTAAAAATTATTTAAGAAGATATCCCAAAAATTAGCATTAAAAATTCATTTTCTATTCTAAAGCTAGAAAATAACAAGAATATAAAAAGGCAAAAATTTGTCTAGACTGCTATTGCAATACATAGACTGGGAAATTTACACTCATAAATAAAGTTGAACAAATGAATGAATCTTTTTTTTTCTAGATAACTTAAAATACTTAAGAATACGGGTTTGAATTTAAAATAAAATATATTATTTACCAATTTAAATAATAATTTTGACTATAGAATAAAAAATATAAAATTGTTTAATTAATTTAAATTTTTCTAATAAAACTAATCGTACGACGGAACAATTTATTTAGGATAAAAAAATATTTTTTACCCGTCAATATTATTTGTTAAAGTTTAATAAATGATTTTTTTATTCTAAATAAATTATGTTAATATAAATAAAGCCTTATTAAATCAGAATAAATATTTATTTCCACCAAATAATATTTCGTAGCAACTAAACATTTCTTTGGTAAGTATTGTCGGTAGATGGCTATGCTTTAATTCCAATGCGATGTAAAGTTTAGTTTAAAATTTTTAATTTGTCTATTATTAATTTATTTATTTATACGCCAATCGGCTTTATACTTTAGATTTACATCAATTAAATTTAGTTATGGGTGAAAAAAGAAAATAAAAATAAGGTAAAGAGAGTATTAATATTTCAATAGAATTAAATTTAAATTAAATTGAATTAAATCAATTTCATTTACTTTATAAGTTTAAATTATTAATATTATTAAAAAATATCTCTAAGAGTAGTTATTACAAAATGAAATGAAATTAATATGTTAAAACTTTAATTTTAAATTTTATAAATATCTCAAATAAAAAATTATTATTTAATGAGATCCTTTTCTTTATAGGGTAAATACACCAATTATTGACCGATAAAGGTTTTTTTTTCTGTACTAAGCTATAAAAAATCTATTAACCTACTAAAAACAATTTGTTTGCATATATTATTTGTACTGGTAATTTAAAAAAAAAAATCTTCGTAATTTTAAATCAGTATAAAAAAAAAAAAAAAAAAAAAATACTAAATTAAGATCAAATCGTTTCATAAATATTTTCACTTTACCGATTGCCATTATTTATTCATTTAAAAGTTATGAGATTTATTTTGAATCTTCCATTGCCAATTAAATTATTATATATATATTTTTTTTTCTATTGGCAATTAATTATTTATACTTTGTATTCATTTAAAAGCGATACAATTGTAATTGCCAAAAAATTGATCAAGTGATAGTTTAATTACTATTTACTAATTACTAATTACTCGGACCCTAATAAAGGGTTTCACTTGAATTTAAAAATTCTTGTTCAAAATAAATATAATTTATTTCATGCCGTAAGATGGACGGCGGAGTTTCTATGGTCTATCAATTATAATCATCGATTGTTCGAAAACGATGCTTATAATAATTCTTCTCCCGGGGAGTAAGTTCTTATCTCTAGAACTTTTTAATGAATTTTATTAAAGTTAAATACTTAATTAATAATATTTAATAACTATTTATAATAAAAATTAACAAAATTATATTAATTTTGTTATTTGAATCCGCGATAGCCGTGCGGACTAATGCGTTAGTCTGTACGGGTATCGTGCCGGTAGGCGCGGGTTCGAGCCCCAGCGGTTGTTAGAAAATTGATTGCAATAACAACCGCTGAGGGTCGCTCTAGTAGCCGAACTGTACTGACCAGGTTTTCTGTGGTTTTCCTTGGTCACTGTGCTAAAGCTTAAATGGGCAGGCACAGGCAAATGAATACAGTACTTGTAAGTCGGCCACAGCCGCTACCTCGAACGCATTGAGGTGGGGTAAAAGAAATCTACCTCACCGAGAGGGTGGGAATAAAAAAAGGGGGGAGGAGAAAAAAGTGTGGTAGTTACATGTATGAAAAACGTAGTGGAAAAACAGGCGAGAGAAAAGGTGGAAATCCCCACCCTCTCCTTGTAAAAACACACGGTTGTATACAAGTAAAAATCACATTTTTAGTAACTGTGGAATATACTTCTCATTTATTAATTTTTACGATCTTCTATTGTAAATTTTATCCAACAAACAAGACTAGCAAGAGACTTAAAAAGTCGAATACTATAAAGCAAATTATACAAGATGTGTTAGTTAACTTTACAATTCAACTATTGTGAAAATTGACAGTCGGTTTTTTTAAAAGAAATTTTAGGGAGGGAGAGAGATAGAAGGTTGGACTAATTGGTACCTTTGCAGTAACCAAAAAAAGAATTCGGAAATTTCGTCCTATCCGGGAATCGAACCCAGAACTCTTAGTTGGTAGCCAGAGACTCTCCCTCTACGCTATAAGAGGTAAACTACTATTGACGTCCTTCAGCATTTACATAAACGCGGAGTCTAGCGCTGTGCACGGGCATCACTCACACTAATTGAAAAACATTCCAATTCAACTATTGTAAAATTTGTTATACTTCTATTGGAAAAATGCAGAGGCAACACTGGAAATTTTAACCTCTTACTTTTTACAATAGTAATATCGTATTTAATCTAATCGAATTCAATCCAAGAATTATTTGGTAAAATTACGATAAGGTAAGAACCCCTATTATTGACAGGGCTCCTATTATTGACATGTTGTTTTATTTTATTGATTAAATCACAATAAACATTGCTTTTTATTAATTTTTAGAAATTTTTTAGTAAGAAAAAAGTAAAATTTTATGCTTTGGTATTAATTATTAACTGCAAAAAAATTTTATTTTTCCGAGTAGACCACTATGGCTAGTTTATTTAAAATTTCTTAACAATTTCGCTAAGAGAGAGCGTATTTTAAATAGCGAATTTTTTATATAATTCTGATATAAGCCTATCATCCAAAATTATTTGAGATTATTTAGACTCTAAATAATCTTAGATTTTTTGTTTTAAGCTGATAAATTTTAATTATGATTTAAAAATAGCGGGTGTCAATATTAGGTACATAAAAATTAACATGTGTTTAATTAGCGACAGCCTACAATTTTAAGAAACTTAATCTCTTTAACATACATAGCGGATTTGTTTACATGTTGTCTCGCGTAATTTTATAATAAAAAAAGAATTGTCTGAGCAAAATATTGTTGTTTACTAGTAAATAATAAATTATATTCGAAGTTTAAATTTCAATTAAACCTGAATAATAGGGTTGACACCTGTCAATAATAGGGTCTATGGGTGTCAATAGTTGGCTCCGATACCATTTCACCCTGTCAATAATACCTACACTTGAGTTGGTGATTTCAAATTAATATATTTGTCATTTAATTAACGACTATTTAAGTATAAAAATTAAAATACACAAGTTGATGAATCAAAAAAAGTGTCTAATACAAAAAAAAATTAGTCAGATTAATTTGAATACGGTTAAAAAATTCAAATGTTCGCCGTCACTCTTATAATGTCAATAATGGGCGCTCTTATCTTAGATTATTTAATAAATATAAAAAAAAAATGAAAATAACTATTTCTTTTTTATTACTTTTAAATACATGCATAAAATTGAAAAATGTGTGACGTCACATCAAGGGGGGAGGGTTCTGAAAATGTGACAACCTGTGACAAGGACAGAAGGGGTGATAAAGCCCTGAAATTCGTGTGACGTAATTTATGGATGGCCCCCTAATCTCAAACGGAAAGAAATTTTCTATAAAATTTACCATTTTTTAATAACTGCAATACTTTTTAAAGTTTATCAGTAAAATTTACTGGACGTGTAAAATAAAAAAAAAATTTAATCCAGCTTACCGCCCACATGTTATTATTGTTATTAATCAAATATGATTTTTATTAATTTTACGGGGCTTATATTTTTTAAAAACTAGATTTTAATTTAAAAACATTAAATTTTTTATTTATTTTTTTTGGCTATTTCACTTGAAAATATATTTTTATATAAAATAGTCGGTACAAGTAAACTAAAAATTCGGAGTGTTATTAAATTTCATTTTTATAAATAATATTTAACTAATTGGATAAAATTAAATTATAATGATAATTGGGTAAAAGTCTTGTTAGAGTAATTAACAGTTACTGAGGAAGAACTGATCAAAAAAATATGTAAATTTTTCTACAGCTGACAAGTCTTGAGCAATTGCAGCCCTGGCTCAGTCGGTGGATAATCCAACACTTGGATAAATTTTAACTAAAAAACTCCTCGAAATTTTTTTTTACTTTCAGTAAAATATTCTATTTTATTGTAATTTTAAATATATAAATATTTAAAAATAATTATTAATTTTTAAAGCTTATTATTTTTACTAATTTAGTACTTTTCAATTTTTCTTAAAATTGTATTTGTGAATAATTATCAAAATAATTTTAATTAGATCTTGAAGGAAGAAATGTCCCTCATTTCTTGTAATTTTTAAAGAAAATTTCTTTCCATGTGCTGAACACCATCCATGGATTTGAAATAAAGAGATTATTTTTCTTTATCTATTAAAAGAAACTAGACTGATTAAAGTATTTTTAATTGAAATAATTAATTAATTTAAAGAAACTTTTGTTTCTTCAGCAGCAAATTGCGACAGTAAAATTTAACAAAATGAAGATAAAAATTTGTCAGTTGACACTAAAGAAGAGAAATAGCAAAAAAACGAAATAATTGTAAGTACAATAGTAATCAACGTCGGTGTTGGTTCCGAGTGGTTTAAACTTTTTCTTAAAAAAGTTTTCTTACACTTTGGAACTGCTGTTACATTACTAACTTTTTTATTTTGCCATTTTCTATTTCACTTATTTCAGTACATTGCTTATTTTTAAATTTTCCTTTGTTCGTTTCTTTATATGTCTCATTGTATTTGCGCGTAGAAAAAAATTCGCAGTGGAATACCGTCTCCGGACAAAAAAAAACTGACATTACTTACGTCAGAGTGAAATAAAAATAAAAATATAAATAAAATAAAATCGAGGAACGCATTTACCCGTGTATCATATTTACTTAGTCTACAAGTAGGGTTACTAGTCTGAGTACCACTTTAAGGGTCACACTCATATTTATTATTATTATTACTATCATATATATACATAAAAATCGGGCAAAAAATTATTTGCTTCACCCTCAACTTAATATTTAATCCAACTAAACTGATATAAAAAATTTTTATAAAAAAACAAAGCGCTGAATCACTCTCAATTCTTTATGTGATTATTTTAAAAATTTTTCTATCACAGTAAAAAATTTTGCGTCATTACGTCAAAAAATTTTGTGTTAAAAATTTTTATGTTAAATATTTAACACTTTTTTGTGTTGATTTAACACTTTTTGGTGTTGATTTAACACAATAAATGTTAAATCAACACAAAAAAGTGTTAAATATTTGACACAAAAATTTTTAACACTAAATTTTTTGACGCAATGACGCAAAATTTTTTACTGTATCATTCAATCAAAAGTCAAAAATGTATTATTATTATTATTATTATTAATTACACTAATAGAAGAATTTATTGATCATTAAAAAATTAATTTACTTGAAGACAATTTATTTCTTCTTTAAATTAAATTAAAAAATTTATAAACTACCCCCATGAAAAAAAAATATAAATAATATATATTTCGAAATATATAAAAAATATATTTTAAATATAGGGTAGATGCACCAATTATTGACTGATTAAGGTTTTCTTTTTCTGTACTAAGCTATAAAAAATCTATTAATCTACTAAAACCAATTTATATTGGATTTTATTAAAGTTAAATACTTATTTAATAATAATTAATAACTATTTATAATACAAATTAACAAAATTATATTAATTTTGTTATTTGAATCTTTAAATACTAAAATCACCAATTATTGACCGAATAAACCCAATAAATGACCGACCGTTCTCCTAATTAATTGATCGCTCAAATAATTATAAGTAATTTTGTTAACTACATGTATGTAATTAAATTTATGGAGTACTTTTGAAGTATTAACGACATCTTTAACAAAACTAAATATACAATATAATTTTAAATCGTACTTTTTTATAAAATAATATAAGTGATAGCAATAATTAACATAAAGTCACATTTATTTAGGTCACAAATAATCACAAGTTCATTTTGATGACGATAATTCTTCTGATTCGCTTGAAATTTTTTTATTCTTCTTCTTCTTTTTTTCAATTAAAGCTTTTTTATTAGCTTGTAACTCTTTTTTATTTTTTTTAATTGCTTAGCAATTTTTTCTTCTAATTATTCGTTCTTTGATATAACCGTTCATTAAAAAAATTAGAACAAAATAAAATTTAATACTCAAAAAAGATTTTAAGTATTATTTTAATTGTAAATATACATTTTTTATAATGATTATTCTTATATTTACAAAATATTGAATGACTAAAGTACTTTAAACACTTGACAGATTTTATTTTGAAGTTAAGTAGTTAGTATTATAAATATACGGTGATTAATTGGATTGTGATAAAATCAGAGGGTCTAATAAATGACCGAATGAATTTTTTACTGGGTAAAGAGCTTCTGACGGATCCAATAGTTGACCGGTCTTAAAATAATATTAAAACTTATAATTTAACTTTATTTTTTCAAAAAAGTTGGAATATGATCTTTAATTAACATAATAAAACTAAAATATTTTATATTATACCGATAAATATCACTAAATTAATTATGAAATGCACTCACTCTCCAATTGTACGGTAGTTATTTTTGACCGCTTTATGGCTGGTTGCGTTGTAAACAAACTCAGAATATTTTTTTAAAGCTATAATCACTGCGCAATTGATTGCATAATTTTTTATTATGATGATTAAATGCCATATTTTTTTATATTAATACTTTAAGATAAAAAAACCCTTGTAAAATATTAATTAATTAACTTTTTTATACATCGGTCAACTAATTGGTGACCGGTCAACAACTGGTGCATTTACCCTAATACCTTATATTTTTACTTAAAATTATTTATTTTGAGTAAAAAAGTTAGATTATACGCTGAAATTAGTTAAAAAATTAATTTCTTTAATACCAATAAACGATTTATGAAGTACTAATGAATAATTTGTTAAATACTTCTAAATCTTATTAAATAAAACTAAATCCTTCTATCAATAGCATCATAAAAAAACAATTACGTATTTTTTGATGGATCTTCCAAATATTTCTTCAACAATCGGTTGGCAAATAACTTGCACTCAGCATGCCCAAAACTGCAAACTATTGGAGCCAGAATACTCCTAATTCTAATTGCTGAATGATCATCATCTTCACGATTTTCAAATCCAAGCTTATCCATCACCGCATTAGTGAGATAAAGCATATAAGTTTCGAAGGATTCTTCTTCAAGTGTATTGCGCATGTTTTCCTGCATTTCCACGATGACGTCAACTGCGGAAATCCATGGGAGATAATCAGTTTCTTGGTGCAAGTATGAAGTTATGTTTACCAGGATCTCCAGGTAAGACTTATCAGTCGAGTATAGTCTGTGAATATCATCGAAAAGCTGCGCTCGATTGACTACATGGATCTTGGTGTAATCTTCGGAATTAAGATAGTCTGCGATAAGCTTCCAATTTTCTTTGTCGTAATTTACTTGATAGAACCCTAAATAATTTATAATCATAGATAATCATACATAATATAATTTATATAATCATAATAATATAATACATAATTTTTTTTTTTCATTCATTAAATTAGAGCTAAAAAATATTTTTTAATTGCAATTAAAGTTTTTAAAAATGAAAATTTTTTTTTTGTGTAATAATTTTTTCAATAAAAAAAAAAATTATAAAAATTTTTAAAGTTCGGCTTACTTAATTTTTATTAATTATACAATATTAAGAAAATTAATTTAATCCAAAAGACAAAATCTTGAACCAAGAAGAAATTTTGAAAAAATTTTTTTCTGCTTGTTTCAAGACAAAATATATCTTCAAAATAGTCTTCTTGGTCCAAAATTTTGTCTCTTGCATCAATTTAGTTTTTGTATCTGTATAATTATAATTTATAATATTAAATATCAACTTAATGTATCAAATTTTGAACTGACCTCTTTGTTGAATATTTACAATAATCCAATCATCCGTCTTGACATCAGGTATCGTAGTAACTTCTTGGTCAACTTCCATCCACATGGTTGGAGTAGTCCGCGAAAAATCTGGATTTGACTTAGTCGCAAAGTTTATTGGTATCCTCCATTTATTTTTAGGGTTTTCATTTCGTGAATTTTTTTGAATTAAAGTTATTTCACCAGTTTCATAATTTCGAGTGACATTTACAACTGGCGTACCCGTTTGTTCTATCCAGGGATCCATAGTTTCTTTAATATCTAATGGTTTATCTTCATGCTTTTTATTATATACTTCTTGAAAGGCTCTCCAAAGATCATTTGTCACCACAGAATCAAATTGACTAATCGCAATAATTGATAAAAATTAAATAATCACTTGTGTTAAATTGCGCTGTACTTTCTTCAATATTGTCGTTTTTAAAGATATAAGCTCATCCCGATGTTACACTCATTAAGAGCTTTCATTTGAGTACCCACATGCATTTTTTATATATTTTTCATATATACATATATAAAATATATATAAATATATGAAATATTGATGTGGGTACTTAAATGAAAGGTCTTGATGAGTCTAACATCGAGATGAGCTTATATCTTTAAAAATATCAACAATTTACAAGATACAAGGTAGTTTCTTGATTATGAAGAATTGCACTGTACTTTCTTCAATATTGACGTTTTTAAAGATATAAGCTCATCCCGATGTTACACTCATCAAGAGCTTTCATTTGAGTACCCACATGTATTTTGATATATTTTCATATATACATATATATAATATATATAAATTATATGAAAAATTGAAGTGGGTACTCGAATGAAAGGGCTTGATGAGTGTAACATCGAGATGAGCTTATATCTT